CCTGGGTTCCAGTGGGGAATTCTCCCTAGGTGGTGGTGCAGGAAGAAGCATAGACTGGTCCTCTGGTGTTTCATTATTTCTGTGGATGGTAGGAGAAAAAGAGGAATTGATCCCTGTGCATTGTGCCCCAATTCAGAACTGCAAAGTCTGCACTTCAGGGGTGGGTGATTGCCTGAGCATTGCCCTAACCCAAGAAATGAGAAAGGTCTTAAGCACGTCTGTCTTCTGGAATTCATGGTATTTTTAGCTACAAAGAGTTTAAAGCAGATTTAAATGCCCAGTGGATAATGATAACGTTCACAGCCCAGTGATCTCAGAGGACATCTGCTCAAATGCTATTCAAACACGCTCTGACTAGCTCTGTGTGTTTATTTATCTTTTGACAGTGATAAGTGGTGGAGGGAGAGAATGAAGATTTCAAGTTCCATCATAAGGCGATTAAACTGGATGGGGGTCCAGAGACCTCTCAGAAGGGAGTTTGCCTTGACGTGGGCCCCCTGCTCCCTGGTGGAAAGGTTTGCTGTTCAACGGAGACCTTGAGGTAGTCCAGGTCCATGTTCCCCTCAGTGAAGGGTCACACAGGAGCTGAGAGGTCTCCAGGCACCTTCGTCTGCCTACCCTGCTTGCTCACCTGCGTGCTTGTCTGAGTGCCATGGTAAAAACACTGTTTGTGCCCATAGTGCCCTGCTGGGCTGTTGCAGGGCCAGAGCTCCTCCCACCAGATCTTGTGGTTGGTAGGCCAGTGGTTCCTGTTAGGAAGTTTATAAGTGGACTTGATGTAGTCGCCTCTCAATGGCTCTCCCTCCCTGGCCCTCAGCAGCACGGAGGGGTGTGATGTGTTCCCTTCTTTCACTATGCATGTGCACATGTGTACCTCATACACATGTGAAGCTTAAATGATTTGTTAATGTGTGAAACATTTAGAAGAGTTCAGAAAGGTTAACCATTGCTATTATTTTTCCCTGGTGTCATTTCTACTACTAAGCTGCCCATTTTTACCTCGCCTCCTCTACCCAGGTGGCAGAGGTGGAACTGTAGTGGCTCATATGGCAAGGTCCCTCTGACCCTGGGGTTGGGCGAGGGATCAGGCACAGCACAAAGGACCAACGTGGGCCAGGCCCTGGGAGCATGTTCTTTTTGGCTCCAGCTCTCTTGGGGCAGAGTATTCGGCCAGCCAGGGTTGTGCCAGCCCAGAAATAGGAGGACAGGTGCACATTTCAGCACATCCTGAGCATTATGGAGACTGCAGCCAGCCTGGTGCAGCTTGCTGTAAGCACTTAGTGGCCCCCTCCTCTGTGTGCAGGAGCTGGGGCTGAGCGGAAGTCCTTGTTCACTCAGTCAGCCTCTAGACATTTCCTGGAACTTGTTGTCAGGTAACCAAAGGGTCACATTGTGATCTGATGGGGACACAGGGACACAGTGCAGAAGTATCAGAGAGCAAGTCCAGCAGCCTCACCACTTGGCCAGTGAGTCTAGTGCTAAGCCTAAGCCTCAGGCACATTGCCTTGGCAACCTTAATAGAACCATTCTCACCCTAACTGGCCTCAGGGCTTCTACAGTTAGACGCCCCCCTCCCACATGTCTCTAGGTGTCACCCTGTTGCCCCAATACTATCCCACCCTCTGTAGCTCCAGGGCAGGATATAATGTACCAGCTTTCCTAGAGGAATGTCACCCCCAGAAAGATTTTGAAATCCTGTCAAGGCCCTAAATTTTACATCTGAGGCAAAGATGGCCCAGAGAGGAGACTGACTGGCCAGGGTCACACAGCAGTGAGGCCCTCTGGGTATCAGTGCAGTGCACCCCCTGTGGCTCCTGTGGTTGTTGGGTTCTGGCTATTACACCAGCAGTGGTGCCTGGCCTGGCTGGTCCAGCTCTTAGTCTCTGCCTGACACCACCCTGGAGGTCCAGGGTTCCTCCAGAGCAGAGCTGCCAAACCAGAGCGTGCCTTGCCCCTCAGCATCTCCCAGGGCTCCTTTCATACTGCCTCCCCCCCATCCTAACACGATGCTGTCAGACATGAAGAGTGCGTTAAGAATCTGGGCGTGGTAGTGCTCACCTGTGATCCCAGCATTCTGGGGGCTGAGGCAGGAGGGTCACAAGTTTAAGGCGAGCCTAGACAACATAGAGACCCTGCCTCAAAAAAAAAAAAAAAAAAAGTGCACTAACCCAGGAGTTGTCACCTCTGCTGTCATCGTGCCTGAGTCTGGTAGTTCCGGATGATGCATCTGGGGGTGGGCGAAACCTACAGTCTGCAATTCCTTTGTGGTGGAAAGGGTTGGGAGCCTTTGCAGATACAGAGGCAGAGATCCCTCCGCCCCTCACTCCCCAGGGTCTCAGAGGAGTGATTGGCTTGGAAGCTACTGCTTGCATACATACCCTCCCCGAGAGATGGTCCAGGACTGCTGTGGCACGCATGCCACAGCAGGCTGTTTGTATCATTGAAAGCTCTATCATTGATCAGCATTGTCGCTGATCTGAGACAAAGAAGTAGCATGAATTTGTCCAAAACCTGCATGAGTTGCTGTCAGCTTTCTGATCATTTACAGAATTTTCCTACTTTTCTCTTTTACACTGACAGTGAGAGGAACACATCCAGCTGACTAGGTCCCTGAGGCAGAGAACACAACACACTTTGGGCCTTTCCATTCTCACTTTCTGTTTTCTAGCTTTCTCTTTTCTGTGCTACCTGGCCAGATCTGCTTCTCATGGTGAACCTGGCCATGACAGGGCCCATCACAGTACCAAAAGCTTTGTGAGAGCCAAGCTCATGCCTGTAATCCCAGCATTCCGAAGCCTGATGCAGGAGAATCTCAAGTTTGAGGATAGCCTGGGCTATGTAGAAAATTCAAGGCTAGCCTGGACTACATAAGTAAGACCAAAAAACAAAAGAAAAGAAAAAACTGTGTGTATACCAGAGGAGATGTTTTCACTCCTCATTTCATCCCATTTTTTGACTTATCCTTCAGATTTTATTTTATTTTTTATTTTTTGGTACCGGGGATCGAACTCGGGACCTTGCGCTTGCAGAGCAGGCAGTGGCACCACTGAGCTAAATCTCCAACCTTCCTTCAGATTTTATAGGTCTGATGTTTTGAGAATTGTTATTTTGGTAATAAGCTGGGATTTTTTTTAGGAAAAAAATTTTAGAAAATTCTTATTTTCACTTATTTCCCATTTGTTGCTGACTTGCTTCCTGTTTTAAGAAGACACAAATCCTGTAGAGTCACCAGGTATTATTGAAGAATGCTAATGTGGTTGCACAGAGTCACAGTACCTGTGCTTTTCCTGGCATTGAGTGTTTCTAGAGGAGCAGCGGGTGAAGTGGAAGGGACCGGGAGCCTGAGGTCCACTGGAGTCCCACGTGAGTCCCCGGTGTGGTTGGAAGGTGTTCCTTGTCCTATGTGGTAGTCTGGCTTTTATGTACAACTCAAGACCCAGCTCACAGGCCACCTCCTCCACTCAGCCTTCCCTGCTTTGAGATGAAGCTGGGTCCTGCTGCTGGCCAGTACTCTCTCGCTTGTGTCTTGTGATGTGCGTTGGCATCTCTTAGCCAGATTGTCGGTCCTTGAGGACAAGCTGTGTCTCATTCTGTCTGCACCTTTCCCTAGGGACACCCTCTTCCTCTACATCAGCAGCTCCCCAGGGCCTAGTCCCTGCTGGGCACACACATGTTGAAGTGAAATTTCAACTTTTCAGTACCTTCTGTGGAATAATTATAGTTATTTGTGCACATGTTTTATTTCTTTGAGGGGGGGCAATTGGTAGACATTTTCTTCCCATAAGGGCCAGATAGAAAATGTTCTAGGCTTTGTGGGCCGTGTGGACTCTAGTGTAACTGTACTTACCGCCTGAGGTGGTGCAGAAGTGATGCAGATGTATATAAATGAGTGGGTGTGGCTGGGTTCCCATAAAACAGTGCATACAAAACGAGGCTATGGTCCCTTACATTGCCAACTGCTGTTCAGATTATGTGTCAGCTTCTGAAGGGATGGGCTCTGTGTCTAATTTGCCTGTGTCTAGCAGAGGCCATGTAGAGTGAGTACTCCATAAATATGCACTTAGAGATTATTAAATCAAACAAAAGGCTGAACCTTGAGCTGCGCATACTCAGACCAGCATTTCATTTCCTGGGCCACACTCCAGAGAACTGCATGCAGTCCCTAGAGGACGTGTGCCAGGATGTCCATTATAGCACATTATAATGGCCCCAAGCTGGAAACTACCTCATGCCAGCTGACAGAAGAAGGGGTGAATAAATCACACTATAGCCACCCCATGGAACACTGTGCAGCAATTCAAGCAAATGTGCTATATGTAAAAATGTGAATGCAGCTCACAAACCTGATGTTCATTGAGACAAGCTAGACACAAAAGATGGCCTGTTGAACAGTTTCACACATAGAAAGTTTAAAGACAGGTAACACCAGTCTGTGCTGTGAGAGGTAAAGACAGTGGTTGCCTTTGGTGGGGGAGATGTCCAGAAAGGGTCCCCGAGAACTTTCTGGGGCATGGGTTGCACTGTATTTGGGGGTCAGGGAGCCAGCTATGTGGGTATGTTCAGAATACTGTAAAAATTCATCAAGCAATACATTAGAGTTTGTATACTTTCTGTATGAATGTTATAGTTGAATAAAGCATTCAGGGTTTTGTTTTTTTTTTGGTACCAGGGATCGAACTCAGGACCTTGCGCTTACAAGGCAGGCAACGGAACCACTGAGCTAAATCCCTGGCCCAAAGCATTCAGTTTTAATAAAAACAACCCAAAGGCAAAATAGTCCATCCAAACTGTGTTTAACCCAAGACTGTTATCAGCCATTGTGAGTCTCTGGCTGATGCACCTCTACCCCTTTGTTCTGTAAATGGGAAGGTAAAAGGCCTGTCCCTTTCGTCTTCTGCCCTGGTACAGAGGTAGAGCCAGTGTCCCCCACGTGGCCCCCTCTGCATCCTCACGCACTGGCGTGTCATAACACATCCTGGGCTTTACTGTCTCCCGTGCAGAACATCGTCGCCGTGGGAGCTGGGTTCTGCGATGGCCTCCGCAGCGGTGACAACACCAAAGCTGCCGTCATCCGCCTGGGCCTCATGGAAATGATCTCTTTCGCCAAGATCTTCTGCAAGGGCCAGGTGTCCACAGCCACCTTCCTGGAGAGCTGTGGGGTGGCCGACCTGATCACCACCTGCTATGGAGGGCGGAATCGCAGGGTGGCTGAGGCATTCGCCAGAACGGGGAAGGTACCCCCCACCCTCCCATCCCTCTGTCTCCACCCCTCAAAGGTCAATGTTGTCCCTGCTCTTTGCTCACCCTGGGTGCTTTCAAGGGACTTGTCTAGTCTTTATATTTCTTTATCTTTCTTTGGATTACAGGAGGGATTAAAGCCCTCCTCCCCCACTTTCCTCTCAAAATAAATGGTTCTCTACTCTTTACTCTAAATTGTTTTTATCCTTTGCTTTTAAGACCATTGAAGAATTGGAGAAGGAGATGCTAAACGGGCAGAAGCTCCAAGGACCTCAGACTTCAGCAGAAGTATACCGCATCCTCAAACAGAAAGGACTCACTGACAAGTAAGCCCACCCCTCATCGTCTGTGACAGCAGCTCCCAGCAGAGGAGTGCCACTGTTTGACAAATGGACCTAGAACTTTACTCAATTAGTTGAGTCCTCTATGTGATGTGAATATCTGTGGCAGAAAATATCTACCTACCCCAAATACAAGTGTTTACACAGTATAAATCTCAGCTTCAGTGAGAATACCTATAAGGAGTATCACAAAATATGAAGCTTTAGATTCTAGTTTGTCCTATAGGATGTTCAGGAAGAGCTACATGCTGTAAGTTTTCAATTTTTCAAAAATAATAACTTTTTTAAAATAAAAAGATATAACTATGTGAAGAAAATGTCATACAGTTCAGAAAACAAGGAAAGACAAGCTGTCCCAGAATTCTGCTGTCCAAGAGAGAAGGTTGGGTGCACAGCCTTGCCATGTCTGTGTTGTGTGAGTGACTAGCCAGCTGGATCTATCTTCTCCTTCCCTTCTGGGCCAGGTCTCTATAAGGTGGGCTGGTCAGCTGATTGACCACCCGATTGAGGAGGAAGCCCTGCAGCACCACAGGCCACCTAACCTCTCCAAGGCTGCTGTCTGGCCCTGTCTCTCACACAACCCTTCATCCTGCTGTTACTAATCTCCTCTCCAGGACTATGATGCCAGCACTACCTTCTTCAGCCTTGCACAGCATACCATGTTAGCCAGCTTTCTGTCAGGGTAACACATACTTATCATAAATCAACATAAAAAGGAATTGTTTACTTTGGCTTAAGGTTTCTGAGGTTTCAGTCCATGGTCACTTAGCACCGTCACTTTGGGACTGTGGCAGAACTGTACATCGTGGTTGAAATGTATGGCAGAGGAGACTATTCACCTCATGGAGACTGGGAAGAAAAGGGAGATAGGAAGGGCCAGGTTTCATATCCTTTTCGAGGGCACACCCCAATGACTTAGCTGCCTCTCACTAGGCCCCTTCTCCTAAAGGTTCCACCACAGGCTGGTGACCAACCCTTTAGCACATAGGTCTTCGGGGCACTTCAGAGCCAAACTATAGCGATGTGTCTCCTGACCTCCCCCCAGGACTCCGTGGGAGAGGGAAGTTTGTCCGTCTGGGGTTGCAGTGTGGGCAGCTATATTGATGCTGTTACTTGGGACTTATCTAGAGTGTATGCTTCTCTTAAGCCAGGAGATGGTTTGCACATGACGTCTCTGGTGGCATCTTCACTCTTGCTCAGCCCAACTGTCTGCCGGATTCCACCATGTACCTCCACCTCACCCTGCACCCAGCTCCCTTCATACCCAGTCAAATTTAGCAGCCACAGAATTCCTCACTGAAAATTTCAAATAGATGGAGCATTAATTTTCCCTCTTTAATTTGTACCATATTTTTCTGAAATGGCTTTTAAAACCAGCCAGGGGAAGTAGAGTTTTGTAAACAGGCTACCAGAGAAGGGGAAGGATCTTAAATTGTGACTAAGAGGAAGGCATCTTTGCCATGCATGGTTTTCCTACCTGCTTAGTGGACACTGCTGTGTTGGTATGTGGTAGTGCTACTTTAAGAACCATTGAGTGGGGTAACCCACTTTCTGGTCCCCCTTCTGTCTCTCTTAGACAGAAGCTTTTTTCTCCCAATAAATGTTTCCTACTCTTGAAAAAAAAAGAACCATCGAGCATTTATCAGGATTTTTATTTGATTGATGATTGATTACAGTATGTGGTGGAGCTTGAACTTGTGGTTCTCTTGCTTCAGCCTCCCAAGTAGCTGGGAATTACAGGCATGTGCTGCCATGCCTGCTCAGGAAATTTTTTAAAGTCTTGAAATCCTTGGGTGTTTGGTGATGGCGAGAGTCTCCCAAGCAGAATTTTCAAGCGGCCTCTGTGTGCTACCAGGTGGTGCCTTTGTCATGATTCTGTGGATGGGCAGGTTGCCAGGCACTGGTCTGTATCTGTCATTAGGCCTGTGGGAAAGGCACCGGGCCTGGGATGCTGGGAGTGGTGGCTGCCCAAAGTAAGGCAAACCCGCTCCGAGCACATACCTCCCCAGTCATATGCATTTAGTTCTTCCGATTAGAAATTGAGCCAGGTGCCCCTGTGGTGAATGGCGAGAGGCTGTGCTCAAGGCGGTGGCACCTTCTTCAGGGTTGGAGGGCCGGGGCCAGGGCCACCCTCTCCGGCACCCCTTGCCTCCTGAGCCACATGGGCAGAGGCCACATTCTTCTGCCAGTCACCTTCTGTGCTGCTCTCACCTTGACTTTTTTATCCCCTACCCTCTATTCTTCTTCAGGGCTGTAGAAGAAGAGAGCAGGAGGGCAACATTCAGGGCTACCTTGTGACGTAGGAGCCACGTGGTCTTGGGGAAGTCATGTTTTTAGCTGTACTGTGCCCCAGTGGCCTTGTGTACAAATGAAAAATTATGGCAAAATGACCGCCATGATGCCTTCTACCCAAGTGCCCCAACTTGGAGGCCTCCAGCTCTTACAGAATGAAATAACAAGCCTGCAGGTTGGTGTGTGGGCAGCTGCCTCCGGCTACTAGCTGGCCAGCTCTCTAAGGGTCTTCAGGGTAGGCCTGTCTGGGCGTCCTGCATAATGCACATCAAGAGCCCCCACTGGCAGCCTGGCCTCTCCAACAAAGCCTTCTCCATGTCCTCCTGCCACAGCAAGCTGTGCCTGCTGGGAACTCATGGTATGGACCTGTACATAGCACACATATTCTGAAAAGAACCACACAGCAAGTACTTTACTCCTTGCAGGCCACACGCACGAGTCTCATCACTTCTTTTCCTCCTCCTTTTTTCTTTCATAGCCACTAAAAATGCAAATCTCATTCCTGGCACGCAGGTGACACAAAAACGGCACAGGCCAGAAGTGGCCCTGAGGCTGTGGCTTGCCAACCCTGGGTTTAGACAGTATAGATCCTGTGTGCTCTGTTCTCATTTATATAAATGTATTGTTTTACTTTTAATCTTCAGATTTGGAGGGGAAAGCCTTTGGTTTTAAAAAAAAAGCTAGAATGTACAGAAACGCATGCAGTATAAAGCGAGTCCTGACTTCGGCCCTTGATGTGGGAGTTTCCCAGTTTCTAGGGTACCTTTCCTTCAGCCTTTTGTTTATGTGGTGGTGGGGGGGCTCTGTGAACTGCTCTGTCTCTTGCTTTTCTTCCCCCTAGGGTTTGTTCTGAAGCTCAGTCCGCATCTACACAGAGATCTACTTTAATGACTGTGGATTACTCCACTGGATGCAGAAACTAGTTTATTTAGACAATCGACTCTCAATAGACATTAAAGCTGTTCAGGGTTTTCTGCTGTTATAAAATGTGCTGTATCAGCCTTCGTGTGTGTGTGTGTGCGCGCGCGTGCGTGCGCATGTGAACATAAGGTATTTGCACTCACTTGCTAGAGCTATCTCATAACACAGCATCACAAGAGAAATGTATTTTCTCCTAGTCATGGAGCCTGAAAATCTGAAATCAAGATGTTGGAAGGGTTGGCATATTCAGACTCCTCTCTCCTCGGCTTATAGGTGGTTGTCTTCTCACTGCATCTTTACATCATCTGGCTATCCCTGTCTGTGTCCTAAAGTTGTCCTATAAGAGCACCTCAGTGCCTTCATTGTAACTTGAGTGCCTCTTTAAGGACCTGGTGTCCAGACAAAGCTCGTCCCAGGGTCCGGGGATGAGGACTTCAGCCTATGAACGGGGAGAGGGGGAGCGTACAGTGCAGCCCCTGGCAGTGTTGCAGGCTCCTGGGGGCTGGGCCTTATTCACGGCCTGCAGCCCCACACACACCAGGCCTGAAGCCTGAACACCTTCAGTGTCCCTTGGTGGGATGGCTGACTGCCTGGTGTATGTCAGCTCTTTCCTATGAGGGGTTATCATTTATCCTTTCACGTTATTTAGAGAATTTCTCAAACAGACCTAATTGGTCTTGTAGCATTTTATGTTATAGAAAATAACATATAAATGAAGTGTAGCTTTGTGGCTGAGTGTTGGCTCTGAGTCAGAACATCCCTCAGCTTCCTCATCTATAAAATGGGAGTCATATTATTTCCTACCTCATAGGATGGCTGGGAGGACTGAATGAGTTGCTTAAGAAATCCCCCTCCCACACACCCTCCACATCTCATTAACATTGCTTCTACAGAATACATTTTGGAAATGCTGGTTTTAGAAGCTGGAAGAACTTTCAGCTGTAAGAGCAATGCTCTGCTGTAGGAGGGAGCATGGAGGTGAACTTTAGTGATGTTGGCTCAGTGGCTGTGGATGAGAATCTGTGTGACCTTTGTGCCTCCTCTGGAACCTCAAGGTGGCTGCAGCAGCTCCAAGCATGACATACTCACACAGCTGCACTTGGGAAGAGCAAGAGCAGTCTAGGTAGCAGTTTCTCCTCCAGTGCCTCTCAGGGAGAGTAATGTCTTCCCCAGAATCCTCAGTGAGAACTAGGTTGCTTGGATAATTCTAGGTGGGTCGGGAATGGTTTTAGGTGGCCAATCATCACCTGCCACACAGCTTTGGGGACATACACTTTGTTCTCATCTTAGGAACAGGGAAACTAAGACATGGAAGCACAAAGTGAGAGAGCTGAAACTTCTAGGCTTTACGTTGAATTCACAAGAATTACTCAATGCCCTTGCTGGGCACTGTGCCAGGCACTGAGGGTGCAGTGATGAACAAAGTGGCCTCAGCTCTCTCCACAGGGAGCTTACCGTCTGTGAGCCAGGGCCATCCTGTTGCTGTGGTTCAAAGCTGTCCATACCTATCAAGTTCTTTACCATACACTTGATATGGAAGGCATCTGATACACAGGCCTGCATGGCCAGCCCCATTTCACAGATGGGGAAACCTCATCAGAGGCTAAGTAAAACTTGCCCAGAGTGTACAGGCTGAGGAGTCAGATTTGATTCAGTCTACTGAGTCCAGAAAATAACATAGCAGTCCTCACCTTAAAAACCTCCCATGATAAAAAAAAAAAAAAAAAAAAAACCTCCCATGATGGATTCTCATAAAGACATGTAATATCCTAGGACTGTTTGTTCTTCTTAAATTAAATTGTCATTAAAGGATTCTACTCAGATAATTTTCAGGATGCCCTTTATGGCTCTATTGATTCTGTCAAGCTCATTTTGGGCTGTGTGTGTGTGTGTGTGTGTGTGTGTGTGTGTATTAAAAAGCCTGATTGAAATTTGAAATTAGTTATTTTTCTAGTAATTTCTGCCTGGAAAAAAAACTTGCTGAGCCGGCTGTACCCTGGGATATTCCCTTTTCTTTCAATGGATTATTAGCCCACTCCTTTGTGGGAAGAAAATGCAGAATAAGTCAGGCTTCAAGCATGAGATCGGGCCTTTGCTAATTGTGAATCCTAACTTGGATCCTTGCAGGAGTTCCTGGCCTGAATTATTTATGGCGATGTGTGGGTTGCCTCATTGTCATCCATGGATGATCCTTTTTAGAGAAGGGAGAGCAATACCTCCTTGCAATTTAAAATTCATTCTCCAATCTTTTAAAACAGTGACAGAAACTTGGACTCATCCCCATATTTGGCCATGATGCTAAGCCACAGCTCTTTCTGTAAATGAACCACCGTGTGCTGGGAGGGATGACCATGTGACTTGTGTGACCGTGTGCTGCAAGCTTAGCAGGCAGAGGGTGGTCTAGGTGGTCCCAGGGTCTGGCAAGTGCAATGCAGAGTAGAGGCTCTGCACTCTGCAAACCAAATAATAAAAGGACCGTGGAAAGCGGTCCCTGTGTTTTGCAAAGTAGCATACAGTACTTTGCTGCACTGTTAAGCAACACAGAAAAATGGGTCTGTTTTAGGAGATAAACCAGATGGCCTAACCTTGTCTTTTTCCCATTTCCTCCCACCCAGGTTTCCACTGTTTACCGCAGTGTATCAGATCTGCTATGAAGGCAGACCCATCTCAGAGATGCTGTCCTGTCTCCAGAGCCATCCAGAGCACACCTAAAGTGAATCATGTACCAGCCTGGGAACCATTCTGCCCCTCCCATGTGGAAGCGAAGACTTGGCAACAAAATGTTTGCTTGATTGTACTCCCATCATGAATATGTATGAATTATTATAAGTTCATTTTTTAATTAGAGGCAATTCATTGGCTAAGATGTACTGGACAACAACTAAACACATGTGAATGTGTGTGTGCATGTGTGTGTGTGTGTGTGTGTGCATGTATATGTGTTCATTGTTTATGAGTGTTTCTATGAACCAAAATTATAGGTCCTTTTTAAATAGATTGCATTTAAAATTTCCCCACTATGTAGTCTATATGATTGGCATTATCTCAGCTAAATTTTTTAGATATGATTCATATGTAATGTTTTTTCTCATTTTTGATGATAAATTTAACCAGCAGTAAAATGGTAGGTTGGAGGAGAAAGATCACCATATGTGCTCAAAGATCACCATATTTAACTTTTAAACACTATCTCAAAGCCAGCATAGTCAACTACTTTGATTGTGGGTTGATCTTTTTTCAAACAATTAGGTATTTTAAATTAGAAATCCATATTTTCTCTCGCTGCAGTTTTCTGCATTCTTTAGCCACCTTTCTCTTCATTAGCTGCAAGAACGTGCTTCTGTAAAGATGTAGCAGTCGCAGAAGTCAGAAACTCACCTGGGATTTTCCTGCTGTGAATGACACGGTCCTCCAGTTAACAAACACTTGTATGATGCTCTGTGTTAGGTGGTGCTTTTTTGCAAAGATTTATCTTAAACCTCATGAATCCCTAAGAGGGGGCTGCTGTTGTTCCTCTTATAAAATGGAGTCACTGGCACCTGGTCACTGGGTGAGCAGAGACAGAGCCAGGAGTCAAGTGCAGCGCACTTCCACCCCACCAAGGTGCAGGACCTTCTAAGCTGTCCCCAGACTTACCTGACCTCAGGCTCACAGGTTGTGGCAAATGTCCACGCAGCCTCTCCTGAGGCCACAGGAAGGCTTCCTGCTGCTGGGAATTGTGTAGGTCAAAGTCTCCATGGTCACCACTCCAAGTATGATCCCCAGTCCACCAGCATCAGTTTACCTCTTAGAAACGCACATTTTGAAGCTTGGCGTGGTGGCACACCTGGTATCCCAGCTACTCAGGAGGCTAAGGCAGGAAGATTACAAGTTCAAGTCTAATCTAGACAACTTAGCAAGATCCTGCCTCAAAATTTTTAAAAGGCTGGGGGTGTAGCTCAGGGGTAGAACACTTGCTTAGCATGTGTAAGGCCCTGGGTTCAACTCCAGAACCAGGGAAATAAAAGCAGATTCCCAGGCCCCGTCCCAAACCTCTGAGGTGGCATCTGTTTCAACCCCCTTCTGTGGGTTTCCGATGCTCACTAGAATGTGAGAACTACTACTGTAGAAAATTTACTTTAACGCGGCCATCCTCAGACCATCTACCCAGAATGTCCTGGGCTCCAGTGAATGTTCGAGAGTCTCCTGAAAGGTCAAGTGACTTAGAGACGCTGCACACGCACAACCCTCTTGAAGGTGTAGAATGTATGTTAGGATGCCAGTGGAACCTGTTTGCTTAACCAAGCAAGCCCCAAACATGTTAGACTTTGGAGATCTTTTGGCAAAGAAACTAAACTAGCCAAAGTTTCTAGGGAACACTGCTGTCAGTGAAGGTGACATTTGGACAACTCAAGTAGACCCTGTGAGAAATGAAGATGAATAACTACCTGTGGTATTGTTAGTTCTGGACTTTACAGCTCAGGTCTGCCATAAATCTTTGATGAGGCTTTAAGGTGACACCGGCAAGTATATAACCAAGTAGATGCCAGCCTTGCTGAAATGCACATTATGTGGATAAGTGCTTTTAATTCTAGAATTAAAATGGGAATTACTGTATCTTCTGAAATGAGATTCGTTTCAGAATAGCATTCCAGTTATCTTGCATAGCATTCCATAAGTATTAAAAGAACATATGAATGTCACATATATATTCATCATGAGTTTGTGAGATTTTTCGCTTTCCCTTCCCCACCCTGGATTTTTTTTTTCTCCTATAACTGAAATGACTATAGAATAGATTTTTGTGAGTATTTTAAAACTTACCTGAAACACTTTGGGGGCATTTTAAACTCCCATACACAGAAGTGTGTGAAAGCACACAAAATGCTACGAGCTTCAGCAGTTTTAGTCCCACTGTTAAGTCAATCAATTTTGCTTCTCTCTTGATAAAATTTTTTTAAAGTTTGTACATAGGTAACAAAGAATTACTTTTTAAGACATAAAAAGGGCTGAAAGTTCATTGTGTCTACTAAGTAGGATAATGTACTGTGAGGAGTTAGGGTTTTGTGTGTTTTGTATATTCTCATCTGCATTCCGCTTCCTACTCTGGGTTTTGTACTTGAGTGTTTTTTCTTTACAAATGCCCTCTTTCCACTCTAAAGTCTGCTGATTGCACCTCTTGAACATACTTTATAATTATCTGCACATTATGGAAAAAAGTAAATTTTATAAGTTTATGCTCTACTAATTGTAGATATTTATTACTCTACGAGTCATCTATTTTTATAACTACCTGTGGTCTGTCATTTATTTTGATTCAGATTTCTTACCAGTTATGGTAATAGGGAGGGAGATACCTTGATTAGAAACTTACTATCTAAGCCAATCTGTGAATGTAAAAACTACACTGTTGCCTTGCTATCATCTACCTTAGTAGTGTGGAACAAAATCCCTGTTTGAAATCCATGCTAGGGACGGACTTGAGCTGGTTTTTTCATTTAACTCTTAATGATAGCCTGTGGCATTGGCTCAAGGAGGGAGTTGTGGTAAGGTGCCAGATTTTTCCAGTAGTTCTAATTTTCTGGGCTTTTACTTACATGTATACTGTAATTGTTTACAGACCATAGGTGGATGGATAATTTAAAAGCTTGATTTAATAAACATTTAACCCCCGCACCTGTGCCATGGATCCTATTTTTTTTTTTTATCAGCCTGTGTATCAGTCAGTGCTTACTAGAGAAACAGAGTTAATGCAAGATACACAAATATATAAGAATTTATAAGATTGGCTTACAGTGGCCGCCGATAGAGTCAGGTGTGGAAGAGTATAAAAGGACTGTCAGTGTACTGGAGATCCAAAAGATCCAGTCAAAGGCCTGGAGCTACCATAGTGTCCCATGCGAGTCTGTATCAAGAAGCTGAAGGGTCTGCACTGGAAGCCAGGAGATGACATCCAAGGTGAAGGTAAACACTGGAGCTCCTCCAAAGAAACAAGTGATTCTTCTTTCTTCATTTTCACTTCATGCCATTTGGGTGGCAACCACTTGGCTACTGTCACTCACACCGGGTGGGTCTTTTGTCTTCAGTAAATCCCTTCAGCCACACCCAGAACGATGCTGATCCAATAGTTGGATGTTTCCTTCTCAAGGTGACACAATCAGTTAATTATCACAACTTGGTTAATAGCCAGCTCTTTTTTTTTTTTTAATTCTGATTTGTGTTGCATTACCAATATCAGAGGGATTTTGGAAAAGAAAGGCCTCAGCTCTTATTTCAGTCTTCAAACACACTTCTTTTCATTGCTCACTTTTTGAGACAGGGTCTCTCACTGTATTGCTCAGTTGGTCTTGAACTCCTGGCCTGAAGCCGTCCTTCTACCTGAGTTTCCTGAGTAGCTGGGACTACAGGTGTGTGCCACTGTGCCTGGCCTAGTGATATTTTTACATGTTGTAATAGTAGATGGAGACTTTCTACCACCAGTCATGTAGTGGATGAATGAACTTGAAATCCTGTCTTCTCTACCCCCAAATACCTAGAAAATCTAGGAATATACAAGTATCCTTGTTTAAGCAGGGCTGATCTTACCAAACTGGGAGGGAAATCCCCAGGACCCTGCAGCAGACAGGGACTGATTTTGAGAGCAGTGAAGTTTATGGTAGAACTAGAGCCCCAGAGGCCATACTGGAAAAACATGGGCTAAGAAAACCCAGGTATGGCACAAACAAGCTGGGGTCCAGGTAGAGAATCATGTTTCTCCAGACCATTTTTCAAACATCTGGGATTCAGCATCACAAGTTGAATTGAGGTTTGCATTTTTATATCCAAGAAACCATAAGCAAAAAATTACATAAAAATTGGAACCTAGGTCAGTAATACCAGTAAATAACTAACGGAAGCAAACACTGGCCACTGCAGAAACGCACTTTCCATCCAGGATCTGTGAGTTTCCTATAAATAAAGCCCCACTGAATATGCACTTAAAATAACAAATTATAGGATAATGACACATTAATTCATTATGGAATGAAAGTCAATAGATTTTCAAAACAAGAATTAGACCCCAAGGATTTCAGATAATTGAGTAACATGATAGACTCTGAAAGATATTTTTAAAACTAGACATAAAAAATAGATTTAAATAATATTTATCAAGAATCAATAGTGTTTAAATGTTTACCCTACTCAAAGTGGTCTACAAATTCAATGCAATTTCTACCAAAATACAAATGACGTTCTTCACAGGACTAGGAGCAAATCCTAAAATTCATATGGAATCACATAAAATCCCAAATAGCTAAAGCAATCTTAAGCGAAAAAGAACAAAGGAAGAGACACTAGACCACTTCACTTTAAAATATATTACAAATCCACAGTAACTAAATCAGTCCAGTATTGACATAAAAATAGACTCAAAGATCAATGGAACAGAACAGAGACCTCAAATAAACCCATGCATCTTCAGCCAACTGATTTTCAATGAAGATGTAAAAACACACATGGGAGAAAGGACCATCATTTCCATAAACGGCCCTGGGAAAATTGAATATGCACACGCAGAAGAATGAAACTAGACCCTACCCCTTACCAAATGCAAAAGTCAACTCAAAATGGATACAGACTTTAAGACATGAAACTAGAAGAAACCGGGAAAAGCTTTCAACAGAGTAAAGAGGCAACCTACACAATTGGAGAGGTATTTGCAAATTATAACTTTGACAAGCAGTTAATATACAAAACATGTAAGAAACAAAAAATTCAATAGTGAAAAATGGGCAATAAAGCAAAAATTGACATTTCTCAAAACATACAAATGTGCAACAGGTATATGAAGTAATGCTCAATATCACTAATCAGAAAAATGCAAATGAAAACCACAGTATCAAAATGTGGGGGGAAAAAACCCAACCAGGTAGATTTTTAAAGGAACCTGTTAGATACCTATTTTATAGCTGCACAACTGATACTAGCTAAATCTTGGAAGCAGCCTATATTCCCATCAACAGATGAATAAATGAAGTAAATGTATTTATACATAATTACTCAGCTATAGAGAAGGATTAATTTGAGTTATTTTTAGGAAAATAGATATAGCTTTAAACCATTATGCTAAGTGAAATAAATCATAGGTTAAATATTACATGGTTTCTCTTATATGAGAACTCAAAAGCATAAATAATTTTATCACTTCTCGGCCTTTTGGCTAAGATCAAGTGTAAAACCATAAATAATTTAAGCAAGAGCCGGGGATTTAGCTCAGTGGTTCTAGTGCCTGCCTCACAAGCACAAGGTCCCAAGTTCAATTCCCGGTACCAAATAATAATAATAATAATTTAAGCAAAATAAAAGATAATAGGTTATAGGAAACTGGGAGGTAGATCTTGTGCAAATGGGAAGGAGATCTAGGAATGGAGAGGGAAAAAGGATTAAGATGGGACACATACATGTACCAACTCCCTGTGATGAATGTATTTATTATGTATCACAAACAGATACTGATAAAATAATTCACTGCAATAAATAAAGCAAGCAGGTGAAGCACTTAAATAAATGCAACCTATTAGAACATGTAGGAATGAATATATTCGAGTTGTCATTGGACACATGGACAGATTCAAGTATACATTTGGTGGAGGTGGAGAAGGAACTAGCAAACTGGAAATAGATGTGAAGGTGTAAACAAAGTAGCACAAAAATTTGAATGTAAGAGGTAAGTTCAGGATAAGCTTTAGCCTATGTCTGCTAGGAGTTACAGAAAGAGGGAGAGGCAATTTTGGGGGCAGGAAAAGCAGGCTGAAATTGTCCGGAATTAGTGGTGTACATTCTGTTTTATGTAATTTTCCATAATATATGACTGATAAGTTAATAGTGAATGTCTTATTTTAAAGAAATAAGTTGTATAAAGAATCTGTACACATACAGTCTACTAATTGCTGAAGCTCTGATTGGTTCGAGTTGCTGACGAAAGCCATGATGTTCCCTTTGGTGGGAATGGGAGGCAGCTGTGCAGAGCTGCAGAAAGACCTAGATTCTAGCTCTTGCCTAACCATTCAGTCCCTATGACATTTAGCCAAATCAGCCAAATCTTCTTTAGAGCTTGTCTTCATTATTTTTCTCTTGTTGCTGTGATGAAATACCTGATACTCAACGTTAAAAGGGGGAAAGGTTTATTTAGCTCACAGTTTGTAGAGGTTTCAGTCCATAGTTGTCTGGCTCCAAGGCAGGGTGGGATGGCAGAGGAGAAATGGTCCATGGTGGGAAGAAAGTAGCAAAGCAAGCAATCAAGGAACAAGACCAGCCTCTTTCTGTCCCTTATATTGTATCCAGGCTACTGGGATTAGGGTGGTGCCAAAATGATCAGTGGACTGATTTAATAATCACCCGCCTTTAATCCTAGCACCCTGAATCCTCCCATTGCACCATGAATCAATCACACACTCTAGATCCAGCCACTTCTGAAAAAGCCCCACGGGGCTTTGTGGGAACATCTAGACACAAGCTGTAACAGAGCTGATTTTCCTCACTGATAACCAGGAACAGTATCTCTGCAGCCTGTCTCAGGGGATGGCTACAGAAGTCAGTAAAAAAACAGGAAATCTCCAAATATTTAAGGAGAAAAATCACCATGGCAGTAGCTGCTGTGGCAAAAACAGTGCTGTGTGGTCATTATATTATTTAAAATCTCTGAAGTTGCACAGTTAAACTACATTTTCCAGCTTTCCCAGCAGTTAGGTGAAACCATGTGATTGAGTTCCAGGTGAGAATAGAGAAAAACTGCCACTTCCAGCTATTATATTCAGTTTTAATTCTTTATTCTGTCTTCTCCTGTATGCTTCTCCTCAACATCCAGGCTGACCTGGAAGCCGTACACTAGAGGTTATAACTTGTTTCAGCCAGGATTCCTGTGAAACAAGTGCATAAAATCCTCTCACCCTCGGTCCACAGTGGCCTGTGATAGGTGCAGAAGTCATTGTACTATTACGTCACTAAGATTTAAGGCTTTTTTGTTATAGCAGCAACCATAACTTACTCAGATGTATTACTAAGGAGTACGTCCTTCTCTAGGACTAATGCCAACAAGCTCCAGGATCAACACTTGTTTCCTTGACCCTAGAGAAGCGGTTCTAAGGTGGTAATGTCTTTGAGTTGTCTTCCTCCTTTCAAAAGCTTTTAATTAGGATGTTCACTAGATCTTAGATAAAGCTGTGTGCCAGCTGCCATCTGGAAAACCATGACTGGCTGAAAACAAAAAGGAGTAGCTCTTCAGCTCCTCCTCAAAATTTAAGGAATCCCACTCTGAATATTACACATTGTGAGTGAAATAGCACCACTGGAAAAGTACTTTATCATTGTACTTAATGTACCCTGTAATTTGTCAAGTGGGCATTATTTGAATTGTTGCACTTAGAAATGATTTTGTGCTGCAAAGTGGTATTTATAACTCTTCTTTGTTATTGCTCATATTTATTTTTAAATAATTTATGAACAGGTAACATAGTCACTAGGTCCAAAAATAAAGCTCATTTCCCAAGTAGCTACTGTTATTTCTAATGTTCTCTTCCAGCATTTTGTTTTACATACATAAGCAAATATATATATACATATATATATGTTTTTATTTCCTCTCCTTTTTTTTTACACAAAATAGAGCTTAATACACACATAATTTCATGTCTCAC